GACAATTGAACTGAAATTTTTGGATTTGGATTGAGTCAGATGGAGTTACACTCCATGTGACCCAGTTCTTGTGTAATCTGGCACACAAGAGCCTTACTTAGTGGGCTAGTAGATGTCGTCATGGCGCTAGAACCTGTAGGTGTGGCCTGTGTAGCAGTTGCTGCTGCTGCTAAAGCAGCTAGGTTCTGCATAGCATTAAGACCTGACAGACACATGAATAGGCAAGTTCAAGTTCCCCAACAGAGATCATCAGTTATACAGATATAAGGCTGGACTTAACTTTCTCAATAAACAAAGGGATGAATCTAAACTCAAAATAATTAATGAGATTATTATGTAGCCAGTAATATAGCTTTACATTTTTTGGATGTGTGTATATGTACCTGAAACAGGGTGCAGGTTGTTGAGTGCATTCCCTGTGGAGGCAGACTGCTGCAGCAACTGTAAGTAGAGCTAAAGCAAGAAGAAAAATGGAAGATAACATTTAAATTTGTCAATTTGTTTTCTAATGGTTGTTACATTTTGGATAAATATACACTTACTGCTAAGTACTGTGGGCCTAAACTGTTGAGTCCAGTGAGATTACCCCACATGGAAGGGTTCATGTTATGGTAGATTTAATATCATCATGTGTGTAAACAATACATGTTTCCAGGCAGCCAGGCACTTTACAATAATTTCCATTGGGTCAAAATTACACCCTTGAAGGAAATAAATTGTCACAATGTGTTTTTCTTTTTATTCCCTACACCCAAAAAGTGTGTCATGACCCAATTCTATTTTTGGGAAAGTCATGAAATTAGGTGGAGTTTTATTTCAACAGCTACATTTTAAAATGCAAAGGGGTCCAAATAAGCCCTTTGCCAATTCTAGTGTTAAACAAAAGCGCTTTCTATAATAAGGTTTGGGGTTTTTTTGGTTTTTTGGGGGGGTTCAGTCTAGAGATGGACCGATACCGATACGTAATATCATATCGGTCCATACTGATCATAACCCGATACTGACCCAAATTACTGGATCGGATATCGGCGAGAAGTAAAAAATGTAATTCGATCCATTAAATATCAAAAAAGCACCTCACAAAACTTGCTACACGG